TTTTTTTTTTTTTTTTTTTTGCTGTTTTTGCTTTAAGGCAGGCTTGCTGGTAAAGGTACTTTACCAGAAGTCGAAGCATTTCCTTCTGGCTCACCCACTCCTTGAGACTGGATCACATGCCCTCCCCATGCCCAATCAGATTCCAGACTCTCCGCAAGACAATCTCCCACTTCCTGTCAGTTCATAGAACAGTGAAGCAAATGGTGCCAGAGGCTAGGTCGGAGGAGGAGATATACAAAGTCCACTCATCGCTACTCTTCATGTCCAGCTACAGCATTGTACCAAGCCCACTATACCACAAGGAGTACTTTCTGCATCAAGAAATATTCTGCCAGTTAGTCACAGGAACTGCTGCATGTGGCAGGGTGAATCCTTTTCAGCAGGGACAGTGATAATGAATTATGACACTTTAAGAGAACATTATTTCCCCAGAAGGTGGCAACCATATACACAGACCAGTCTTGCCACTAGTCTGAGGGACAGGCCAACTGTGTTTTAAAACTCCCCTTAAGAATAAGTTCTGCAGGCTGTTAGAAGACAACGTTTAGAAGATAGAACTGTGACAACAGCAATCAACTGTTAGCACACACAAAGGCTAACTTTTAAATACTACTTATTCAACCTAATGCCAAACATTGTGTACCCACCTTCCTGCTATACCTCATGTAGGGCATCAGAGGCTTATCTGGTGGCTTTGGGGGTTTTGGAATTGTAATACCAGAGGAAGCCTATAAAAGAACCGGATAAATCCATTTGTTAATGTGACCATTGGACAACTTCAATACACAGCAACGTGGGAACATGCTCATTATGTGGAGATATATATATCTCAAAAAATAAAAACAGGTACCATAACTGGCTCTCACAATATCTGGCTATGTTTTCCCCCCGCCCTCTAAATGTGTCTTTAAGCATCAATTTGTAAAAGGTTACTGTGTAAAAATCCAGTAGGGGACAATCTTCTTAAAAACCTTAAAGCAGTACCTAAAAATTTAATTGGAAGCACTAGACCCATTAGGTTGCTTTCTTTGTTTTGATGAGTGACTGTTATTGTACCTGTTTTGACAAATGTAGCATTAAAGAAGTTACTGTAGGAAAAAAGGTAAGGAGAAAGTGTGAAACAGTATATTATCAGGATATTCTTTCATTCTCAAATCCCTTTACAAATACCATAAACATTTTCGTGGAAAAGTGTAATTTGGAGCTAATCCAAAAGTAATGAGGAAAACATCCCTACTAGGAAACTGATCCCTCAACCTGTGCATTGTGTGTGTCCAAACTGTACTGTCCTTGTCCAAATTAAGACTGTGAGCTCCTTGAGACCTTGTCTTCTTTTAGGTTTGTACAACGCCAAGCATGTTGCCTGCACTCAAGAAAAAGACACTAAACAATCAGTGTTATTGACTGAAAACTGCAGCATTTACTTGTTCTTCTCCCCCAGTCTACAAAGCATCTCATTTAGAAATAGTGCCCTTGTAACGAGACAGGGTTTGCACCTTATAGAAAGTTCTGCTGGTATCATATTATTGGCAACAGTGGTAGATTCTGAAGGCCTCAATCCTACAAACTCTTACACATGGCAAGTAGCTCCATTAAATGAAATGGGACTATTCTCATGTGTAAATTGAAGTGTACTTACATTAAGAGTTTCCAGGATTACAAGTTATGTTTACACTTGATCTTAGCCAAAGGGTGAGACTGGCACTTAGAACAGGCCAAACAGAACAACATCCAGTGTTTTACTTCCAAATTTTTTATCTGGATATTTTTGTTTCATTACATTTATGAATTTCTATGAAACAATGCATACGTACTTCCATATAAATATAAAAATGTATATGAGCTGTACGCATTACTAAATGTATACATATATACACACACAGATGGATTTGAAAAACATTAACTGAAATTGTTTAATGCTTTTAAATTAACAAGATTCCATACATATATTGATATATGCATGGCAGAGAAAGCTGTTTATGCTTATGACATACAGAAACAATGAAAGTTCTCAGACAAAACCTTATTTGTGTATTCAATAAGAAAAATGAATTCAGACCCTACGTTCACTTAAGCTCCGGCTCATATCTTCACTATGGGGTAAGAAGTTTCTTATTTAAGCATTTTATCAGATAGTTTTTAATTTAAAGAAAGGGTTTCATTACAGAGGCATAAAGAGGCTATTATATTAAATGGCAACATTTATAAGGTTGACAAAATCTTATTAATCCTGCATTCTAAAGTGGCTAGAAATTCCACAGTATTTATTTTTACATCAGTGGGCAAAAAATGTTAAAAGTATAAAAAATAATAAGACCATTTGAATTGCAAAGATTGCAGAGACTAGTGAGAGTCTAGTTTTTGTCTTGTGTGAATGTGCAAGGTGTTCTGTATCTTTCTTATAGCTCACAGGATTCTTCCCACATCACTACATTTCCCCTACTTCATGCCAAACATTCCCTGAAGGGTTATGTGGCAACCATTTAACAGGCAACCAAAGTGGAGAGAAAGCAGGCTCCCTTCAGATCCAATCAATATCACTCCTTTGGTTGGAGAAATCACTGCAGAACTAACTATACAGAATCAGAGAATGGAATTGGGTCTCTTACACTGCTAAACAGTATCATGTAACCATCCGTTAAAATTTCTGCATTGGAACTTACTTTGTCCTCATTTTTGTGCCAACAGCCTCAATAAAATTTGTAATTTGTTCCCTCCAAAATGAGCGTATGATTCACACTCAGACTAAAAAGATCTCTTAAACATGCAGAAACCACTGAGGCTTCAAATCTTGGAAAGCCTTTCTTTTTGAAAGTTTCTCAGATGGAAATAATAAGTATTTTTTTGCTCCATTTAATAGAAGCCCACGTTCCAGAACAACATTGCACAATGAAAGGAGGAGGTGGGGTAGGGGAGGGAGAAAAGGGGGAAGAGTTAGAAAAAAAAATCAAAATTAATTTTCTGTCTTTATAAAAAGTGACAGCAGCCAAGATTCAGAAGAACCTAACTCTAAAGCCATTTCTGGTCAATTCCTGTTGTTTGCCGGATGATGTAATAGTTGATTCTCCTACCGTGACCCGGCTGTTGGTGCCCGGGTTCCCTCCCAGCCTGTAGTTGTTGTAGGCCA